TCCCTAGCGTCATGGAATGACAGAAGTTCATGAACCAAGTGACTTTGTGTGTGCATGTGTGTGTGCTATATTTCAGAATAGAATAGAATAACCTTGTTAGAATAAATTTTATTAAAACTATGTAGCAATTCAAAAAAAAAAAGTAGTTGGGAGGTTGAGGCAGGATTCTGTGAGTTTTGAGGCCAGTCTGAACTACATAGTAAGACCTTATCTCACCCACCCCCCCTGCAACAGAGAGAGAGAGAGAGAGAGAGAGAGAGAGAGAGAGAGAGAGAGAGATCAAGATCAAGTGGATGTCACCACCTGTTTGAAATTAGCATACCCAGAATCAGATGAGAATCATCGGTCCCAGGCTCTTGAGGAACTCAGCCTCTGGCCAGCTCTGTAGCTTTCATTCTCCCTGGGTCCTCTCCCTCTAGGTCTCTAAGCAGCTTTGCACTGTTTCAACCTTCACTTCCTCTCCTCTCTTCTGCTGTATACCTCCGCATCCTGCTCTCTCAGCTTCAATATCACCCCCTCCAAGAAGCTTTCTTTGGTTCTCTGAAGCCTTTTTTGGTTCCCTATTCGGAGCCCACACTAGCACTTCATGCCTTGTTACACTACCCGCTCCCATGGGACGCTTCCCTAGGGGAGAGGGGGCCTACTGTCCTCTGAGATCCATATCATGGCACCAAAAAGGCCAGGGTGGCACAGCGAATGACACCAGGAGTCTTGGTGACATGGTGATGTTTGGAGGGCAAGATCCCTGGAGTCTCCCTTCATCTCCTGCCACATTCCTTCCCCCATCAGTAGGCTGTGACTGCCTTCCTAGAAGACCCAGGCCCACACACTTCCCTCCTCTATCGCCACCACAGACAGATGCCACCACGATGCTAGGGCCCGACCATGGCAAGAGCTGACCCAGTTGTTTCCTTGCTTCCATTCTGACCTCTTACAATCTACCTTATCCATTAAGTCAAATAAAGCTTTCAAGATCCGGTACCCAATCACAAATGTCTACTTTGAACGTCTCCAGCAATGTTTGGGCTTACATGATCTCTCGCTAACTCTATTTACCATCTTCTCTTTTTCTTTCCCCAGTTCTAGCTTTTTTCCAGTTCCCCAAACAGAGCAGGCTCATGCCTGCCTCACACGCTTTGCCCTGGTCCTTCTGCCTAGGATGTTCTTCTCTTGGTCCCTCATATGTTTTATTGTTTTCCTTACATTTACCATTTCCTGATATTTTAGTTTTTATTCTGTGGGAACTAGGACCTACTAAATAGGTCTTTACTAAAGATCTCATGGACAAATGGCAGAGTCAGGGGCACACACTCACTGACAGTGGGCTGAGTGGCAACAACAGGCAAGGACAAGGAAGGACTGGGCTTATTTTTGAGTGTAAAGGTGAAGATGCCCAATAGACCTTTCCTGCTCCTCCTCTGGCAGATCCTCGGTGTGAACACCTGCACATCCAGAAGGGGCAGTCTCTGCAGCATATGGAACAATGCTAGGAAGGGACTCAGCTGCGGGCCCCCTCTGGAGTGCCCAGGACACAGCATGGTCCCTTATGGGCTGCTCTCTGACAAGAGAAACTGAGGTCACTCAGACCCAGGCTCTGGGGCAAGCCCCTTCACCTCCCACCTGTGTCTTTGTGCTTCAAATGCAGGGCAACCTGGCCTCTATTCTGGCACCCTGGCCATTGTGATGACCACGTGGAGAATGGCTGTGGAGGTGCCCGGGACACTAAGGATCCTTCAGAGGAGGTCAGCAAGTTCAGGGTGGCATGGGTGTAGACTTAGAATCCTTCAAGGTTGGTACAGAGGCACATAGGACTGAGCACCACAGGGTTTACAGGCTGAGGACTGAGGTCCCAGATCTTCTGACAGGTGACAGGAGGCAGGAGAAAAGGCAGGACTCTCACTTGGAGAAGTGCCAAAGAATGTGTGTGTGTGTGTGTGTGTGTGTGTGTGTGTGTTTGAAATGGAGGGGGAAAGCTTACAACCACCATACTCTGATCCCTATTATATAATGATATTAGCCACTCTTCTAAACCCTTGATCTATGTCATTTTGTCTGATTTCCACAAGCACCCAATAAGGTAATGAGTATAATTCCCATTTTACAGAGAAGGAAACTGAGATTCAGAAAAGTGAAGGAACTCAGTTTCTAAGTGTTTTGGAGCTGGGACTTACACAGGTCTAACTGCCCAAGTGCTGTCTTCTCTGGTACATGGTGACCCAGCTGTTCCCTACAGAAGTATTCCCATTTTTGCCCATGAGAAAAATAAGGCTTAGAGAGGTGACTTACCCCCAAATCACACAGTCAGCAAATAGCACAGTCGAGACCGGAATCAGTCCGTCTGCCTCCTAAGGAACTGTTTCTGCTACACCAGGTTGAGATCTCCCTTTATAATCCGCCAGAGACCCAAGCACACAGGCATGCGGGGCAGAACAGCTCCCAGTCTAGGTTCTGAGGTGTTCCCTCTCAGCTCTGTCTCCATCTGATTTACTGGCGGCCCGGGTCCTGGGAGAGCTACTGAGGAGGCTCACAGCGCTGGTGGTGAATCACTAAGGGCAAGCCCCTTTCTGGAGACACGTGCATCCCACGGGGGAATTAGACCTTAACCCAAAGGAATGTGGCTGCGATGGCGCAGTCTCAGCTAGCTAGACGTGGGGGCTGGGGGTCGCCTCATCTTACTCGACCTCCTTGGGGAAGGCTGGCTTCAAACCCTGGGTGAGAGAAGCCTCTTCTAGAGGAGCGGGCGGACTACCCCAGGGGAGTGAGCTAGGAAGCGCACACTCGGGCTGGTGGGGCCCGAGTGCAAGCCCTGCGCTGCCCGGGCCGTCTGCGTTCCCCGGCCAGTGCTTCGCCCTGAACGCCTGGACGAGTTTCCCACCTGTCAGATGGGATGCCCGCTTGCGCTTCGCGGGAAAGAGCAGGGACACAGGAGCCTGCCGATTTCTCAGGGTCCGACGGAGGGCTCAGCCCCGCTCCATGCGCGACGAGAGCGTTTGGGGAGAGGGGGCGCCAGGGGACCCTCACCCCAGCCGGGCTCCCGAGGGCGCGGACCGCGGCTCGCTCCGGGACGCCTACCTGGCTCAGCGCAGCCGCCGCTCCACTCCCGGGCAGCCTCGGCACATTTTGCACAGACCCGACCCTGGTCCCACCCGTGCCAGCCCGGGTCACGGCCCGCGGATCGGCCGCTGCACCGCCCCACCGAGCCGGCCGCGAGGGGGCGGCGCCGCCGGGTTTAAATAGTGCTCGTGCTTGCCCGCCGCCACGCCCCTGGGGGCTGGGCCACGGGGTCCTAGCGCCCGCAAACCACGATCGCGGGTGTCCGGGTTTCTTGTGAGCTGGCGGTGCGGGGGTGGGGTGAAGCATCTTCGGTACCCTGGAATCCGGGCTGAGTAGGAGCAAGGGCGAGGGGACCCGCGGAAAGGACTGGGAGGGGGAGACAGCAAAGCCTGCGCGGGCTAGCGCGCCAAGGGCGGCGGCACGTGCAGCTGGGGCCCGAGGGCGGGGTGGAGCCCGCAGCCCAGGTCCTGGGAGGAAATCCTGCCTGCCCCGATTTCCCTGCCGCCGGAGAGAGCAGAGAGGTGACTGGCGGCCACCAAAGGCGGAAGGAAGTGACCCTTCGTTGGCCCTGGACGGCCGCGAGGGGGTTCCCCGCACAGTAGCCATTCCTCCCCCATCGTTCCCCGGACTATCAAAGTCCTCGGTTTTTCAGATGTAGGATCTAAGGCTAGGGGTGTGGACAGTAAATACAAATAAAAACCAGGTGGTTGGATCCCCATTTATTGTAGGGAACCCGGAGCTCAGGAAGGTTAAATGGCATGGCCAAAGCCACACAGTCTGTAAGAGGCAGAGATTGCATGCTGATCTGTCCGCAGCGCTAAATGCAGCCAAGTCTGGGCACCCTCTTGCCAAAGGGTGGGGTCAGCGCAGAGAGGACACACCTGACACCAAGTGCCCTGGGACCTGACCTAGCCTCACAGGCCGGGGAAGGCTTCCTAAGTGGCCATGAGGTCATGGGTAGGAGGTTATGGGTAAGGGGCCCAGCCAAAAGCCTGGGGAGGGTGTCCATCCTTTCCCTTCCCTCCAGCCACCATGCCCTCAGATCTGTGCTTGCAAGAGTCCCAGCTAGTCCACATACCTGCTCTCATCAGCGTCTAGGGCTCTATTTAGACAAATGGAACCTTGGCTTCCTCTTTGTATAGTGGAAAAGACAGTAGCTACTGCTTGGGGTTGGTGCCAGAACTAGGCTAGCGCAGTCAGGCTGGTGGCCTGACCCTGGGGCCTGTGGGTAACTGGTATGATGGCTTTATTGCATAGATTGGGGGGGATACTTCAGCTATTCCCTGAGGACTTCCTTTTCCAGGAATTTGCCAAGGGGACAAATGAAAGTGCAGTGTCAATACAGTATGGCTGAATTAGATACTGTCCGAGGCTCTTCTATTTGCCTTGCTGCCTCAAGCAGGCTGGACTGTCTAGGTATTACCTCACTCTTCCTGGAGCTGCCACCCAGAAGAAACTCATGGACTGTCAATGACCAGGGGCAGGGGTGCGCTGGGGCTAGGGTGGGCTGGGGCTGGGCAGCCCCCTCCAGTGCAGAGGCTGTGGTGCGGTTGTGGTTAGCTGGCTCATGGGGTTCCACCTTACTTAGTGCCCAGATGGGGCTCCCCAAGAGTTGGAAACACCTGGGCAATCAAGCATGCCCACCTGCTACAGATGTCTCTTGGGACCTCTGGCTAAAAGCCAGCAACTTCTTGGCACCCTTTCTTCATCTCTTCCCTCCCTCAGCAGTCACATCGTGTGACTTCTGGCAGCTTCGCTTGATCCTTCTGACCTTAATTTGTTGCTCTGCGAAGCGAGACTAATTACAGTGCTAATGAGGGATCACAGAGTGATCACTGGTGACCCCTGTAAAGCACCTACTTGCTCAGCAAATGTGACTCTTCCCTGGTGGGCCTCAGTGAGCTGGTGAATAATGTCTAGGACCTACTTTTGTGGAGTTCCCCCAGCAGAGGAGAACACAGAGGACACCTGAATGGAGAAGCTTTGAAGGTCAAGTCCAGAAGGCTGAGCTTGGCTTGGTAGGAGAGGGCGCATGGGAACTGAGCAGGTTGGATTTGCCTGGCAGCTATGCAGGGGGTAGCTTTCTGTGAAAGGCCACCGAGGCCACCTTTGTATCCAGCACTGCTCACTCCTGTTTGCATGCTCCAGACCCAGAGGGACAGCTCAGACCTCACAGGGCTGGTATTTTTGTGGAAATGCTTCATTCCCTTCTGTATCTGTCAGTGAAGATAGGAGGCATGCCTTTTCCTGTATCTTTAGCACTGTCATTCTGAGATGGTGCCTCTCAGGCTCAGGGCTCCCTGGGGAGGGTTTTGCAACCTCAGAGTCCTATGCAGGAGTCAGTTGTCCAGAAAGGCAGTGATGTATACATCCCGTGTGAATTTGGACAAATTACTAAGCCTCTCTGGGCTTCGCTGTCCCTTTCTAAATTTAGAACAAGAGTGAGAAAGACTATGGCATCTTGGATCCCCAGTTTAGTTTACTTTTTGCGGAATACTCAGTACAGGCCATTTCTTCCTGTCGTGTGTCAAGTCAGAACATGGATTGCCATAGCTGCCTTCCTAGTAGGTGTTTTTATTTTCAGTTACTAAGTAGGCAACTGAGGCTCAGAGAGGCTGGGTAACTGGCCCATTACATAATGTTTGAATCTGGAATTGAATCCGGGTGTTCCACTTCCCAGACTTGATCTCAGTGCACAAATGTGGCTGTCCTTATTCTCTGTCCCTTCCCAGCACCCCTGTGGGACCCTAGTGGGGTAGAACCTTGGGATCCCTAATTCTGCCCCTGACCACCCTCCCTTATCCCCTAAGGCAACTGGGCTGAGACCATCCCAGCTAAGGGCCACTTTCTGGAGGGACAGTAAGAGAGGACAACAAATGTGACTGCCTTGCAGCCAGAGGGAGTTGGTGAGTTGCGAAAGCTTGCTGGGTGCCTGGGAAAGAGACACACGTGGGTGAGGACAGGTGGCATGCCCCTTGCTCTGAGGTCTACAGTGGGAGTGATGAGAACTTGCAGGCCCAGGCCTGGTGCCAGGGGCTCCTTTGGCGTTGTCTTCTCCCTACAGAGTCTCAGGAGGCAAGATAGCATTGGTCCCTTTCACAGAGGAGGGGCTGGGGCTCGGGGGCACACAGGAAACATGGCAAGGGGCAGCCTGGGCTCCATTTCAGTCTTCAGCCTCCAGACTCCAGAGACTTTTTTCACTAGGTTTTAGTTCTCCATGGAGTACAGGTCACCCCCTCCCTGTGACATTCAGTTACTTACCCAGGCATGGGGAGTGGATACAGGTGAGGACCTGGCCCCCAAGGCCATTGTACAGGAGGCTCGCAGTCCTGTCAATCAGTACACAGTGTGGCTGATTCCAGATAGGGAGGCTCCCGGTGGCCCCCAGGGAAGATGAGATGCTAGCAAGAAAATTCGAGACTGGGCAAACCAGGTGGTGCATGATTGGAAGAATCCCCACAGCCTGACTCTGTGCTGTGCTGTGGACCATGAAACCACAACCTTCTGCAGTACTGGGGCTGCTGGGAACCCGCAGGCTTGCCTTTCAGATGGATTTTCCCTTCTGTTTTACCCATGTGAATATTAACCTCGATAGACCTTTTCTTGACGGTGTTAGGCTTTCGTTATGGTCTTTAAGGCCGTAAAACATCATCTCTAAACCAACAGTAGCTGGCAAGGCGGTGACCAGCACGTACACCCCCGAGGCCAGAATTGGGAATAGTGCACTGTAGGAGGAGCAGACCTTGTGCCATGAGGGAAGCCAACTGTAACTGCCCTCTACACAATCTTCTTCCCAGCCTCAGTTTCCTTGGCTGTAGAATGGAGACGATCATTCTGCCATCTTCAGGGGAGTGAGAAGAGGATGGGCTGTGGGAGGTGAGTCTTAGGAAAGAGTGGCTTCACTGGGCCTGTGGGAGGGGCTCAAGCCAGCTTCTCGGCCAAACTAGTGGAACTGAGGCTGAGAGGCACTGGCTCTGGGGACCACAGTGATAGCAGTGGCGAGGGGCAGGTGGGCTTTGTGGTGAGGCTGGGGCAAGCCTGGCCTGGATATTTTTCAGTACTGGGGATTGAACCCAGGGCTTTCATGTCCACAGAACTTTTGTTTTTTAATTTTGAGATGGGATCTTATGGTTGGACAACCCCACCGGTGAACTGAGCACAGTAACAATGGCCCCTCCCCCACCTGGCTGCAGAAACGAGGCAAGCAAATGGGCCGGTTCTGGTTAGCAGAACCGTTAGCCTTTCTTACTGGAAGTGCTTCTGTTTGGAAGGGTAGGCTAGGCCAGGCAGCTTCCTAAGCAGCTTTTATGCATCTACCCACTTAATCTTTGCCACGCTCAATAAGGTAGGCTTTATCGCCCCTGTTATTCTTGCTAGTATTCTCTCCATTGTGGGATGACACATCAGAAAACCCAGAGAGGTTGAGTAACCTGAGCTCCCCCAACCCAGGGCAGATGGGTCCAGGCAGCCAGGCTGCAGCACCTGCATGCTTAGTGCTTTTGCATTAGCCAGCAGAGCAGATAATCTAGAAGGCATGGAGAGCTATATTTCCACTCTCACTATAGATGGGGTGGGAGGGCCAGAGGAGGACAGCAGGAGGGAAGAGAACAGCATGGATTTTGGAATAAAATGCACTGGAATTCCTGTTTTTGCTGTGCCGCTCATTGCTGCGTGCCTTGGGGCTCGTGGCTTTACCT